GCCCTGCTTCTCCCCGTCTCTCTTTATTTATAAAAATTAGTAAAAAGATTTTTTTAATAAACATGAAAATAAGTGCATCAGAAGTATACACCTTAATGAGTTTTCTCAAATTGAACATAACCATGAAACTCCCCAACTCAGGGAATCCGGTATTATGAGCCCACCCACATTCTCCCTTCTCCTCTGTCTCTGCCTCCTCCCAGCACCATTCCAGGGTAACTACCATTCTGACTTACATGGTTTTACTTCTGAACTTTATGAATGGAATCCTACAGAGTATCCTGGCTTTGTCTCAGCATTATGTTTGTGAGAGTCGTCAGTGCTCTTGTCTTAGTTATGGCCCATTTATGTTCCTTGTTGTGGAGCAGGTGGAACCACACACCTTGCATCTTGACCATTTGCAAATAAAGTTTTATTGCAACACAGCCAAACCCATACTTCTTCCTTTTTATTTTTTTAGAGACAGAGTCTTACTTTGGTGCCCTTCGTAGAGTACCGTGGTGTCACAGCTCACAGCAAGCTCCAGCTCTTGGGCTTAGGCAATTCTCTTGCCTCAGCCTTCCAAGTAGTTGGGGCTACAGGCACCTGCCGCAATGCCTGGCTTTTTCTTCTTTGTTTTAAGACAGAGTCTCATTCTGTTGCCTAGACTAGAGTGGAGTGGTCTGATCTTTGCCCTCTTCAACCTTATACTCTGGGCTCAGAGTGATCCTCTAGCCTTAGCTTCTTGAGTACCTGAGGCTATAGGCACACATCCCCACATCCAGCTAATTTTTCTATTTTTGTAGAGACCAAGTCTCATTATATTACCCATGCTGGTCTGAAACTCCTGGCCTCAAGCAATCCCCCCCACCTTAGGTGCCAGGATTATAGGTGTGAGCCACTGCTACTGGCCTTTCTTACTGTTTTGAAAGGCATTTTTATATATAGTCTGAAGGAGTCTTTTGGTGGATATATGTATTATAAATTCTCTATTTTGAGACTTTTACTTTTATTTTAATGGTTTTAAAATTGTAATTTTTGGCTCTGCACCTATAGATCAGCAGTTAGGGGGCCAGCCATATACACCCGGCCTGGTGGTTTCGAACCTGGCCTGGGCCTGCTAAAAACAACAATGACAACTAAAACAACACCAAAAAAAAAAATAGCTGGGCATTGTGGCAGGTGTCTGTAGTCCCAGCTACTTAGGCGGCTGAGGCAAGAGAATTGCTTAAGCCCATGAGTTTGAGATTGCTGTGAGCTGTGATGCCACAGCACTCTACCGAGGGTGACATAGTAAAACTGTGTTTCAAAAAAAATTTTTTTTTAATTTTTGGTAATCACAGTTAGTGTGGGTAAATCTCACTGATGCAAAGGAAAGTGCAGTTAGACAGACTTTGTAGACGTGTGCATGGTTTTCCTCAGCCTTATACCTCCACCTGGAAACCTCCCTATCTCTTGAAGCTGAGTGAGATTTTTATGTTTCAGTCCCTTCTGATTGAGAATATGATTCATTATATTGTTATTCATCCTGGAGTCTAGACTGGGACAGAGTTCTTATCTTTCACTTTTTAATATTAAAAGTAATCTCAGGGTCTTTTGAGTCACTGATGATACCGTGTCACATATTTGAATCAGTTACATACTTTTTTTTTTTCTACTTAAAACTATCTCCTCAGATCCCTGAGTTTAGCAAATTAGAAATTGAAGCTGATTTCTCTAGCTTCAAGTAGCACTGGATTGAATAGGTTAGTTGTTTGTTGTGATTTTTGAGATACATTTAATCTGTTTTTCCCTTTTTTTTTTTTTTGGTTTCAGTTTTATAAATAGCATTCCAGGACAATGTTATGTGATTAAAAATGCTTTGTTGGGATTTTCTATCATCCTCTGGTACCTGAATGTGTTTTATTTTCCGATGGATCATATCTACAATAGAGGCAGGTGATTTTTTAAAACCTTTGGGTGAACATGGTGGTGGTGCGTGCCTGGAGTCAGTTACTCAGGAGGCTTAAAGCAAGAGAGTCTTTTGAGCTCAAGAGTTTGCGACCAGACTGGGCATAGAGAGATCCTGTCTCTAAAACAAAAAACAGATAGAGATACTCTAATGCTGAAGACATTTTCTGTAATGTGTTATTTAAGTGCAGCTGCTTACCTTACAGAGGCTGATTTGCCTTTTCAAGAATAAAGGTAAGACATTTGTGGGAGTTACGTAGCTACAGTATTTTAGTGAAATTTCTCACATACTTTAACAATGTTTTTCTTTATTTCAGGCGATACATTATTAGTGTGGATGCTGTTGTCTGAGTTTATGTAGCCATGGCACAAGAATATGGTAAGAACTATCCCATACTACACATGACTTACCTGCTTTCTAAAGTGTGGAATTTCTGTGTTTAAGTTTCAAAATGGACACATGAAAATAAAGGAACAGAATTTTTTGACATCTACGTTTATCAAAGAGATCGACTCCTCTGTTCGCCTGTATTTTGAGTCTCTAGCTTTATATGCACATGTGTCACCACTGTGTTTTATTTCGTGTTCTGTAACACCTGCTGTTGCTAAGGCTGCTCCTTGTAGAGACAGTGGATGTCAAAGTTGGACCCTTCTCTTGCATCTCATCTATTCCGTAGGATACAGAGTTGAGGAACTGCTTCAGCTCCTGGGCCCTAATGAGGAGCGGTTCTGTCCCTGTCTCCTGCCTTGTCCATAACTGACTTTTGAACTCTGGCTACATCGGCCATGTTGAGTGTTACTGGCCTGCGGTTGGTTTCAGGGTCAGTCCTGTAGTCCTGTCCTACCCAGTGTGACTCCAGCGTAGGTTTGCTTGCCTGGAGCTCTGGCAAGAGTCTTCTAACACTTAGCACGGAGCTGCAGGAAGATACAGCCTCTTCTTTTCTGGATATTTTGTGTGCTGGTGTGAGGTCTGGCGTGGCTGCACTGTGCACTGTTCTGGCTTCCAGACCAAGCAAGGAGCCACCATGGGTGGAGGACAGAGTCCAGAATCCCAGGGAAACTGGCCCTGAAGTTGCCCCTTCTCTGATGTCCAAGTGTTTGAGCCAATATATTTCCTTTTTGTTTAAGCCAGTTTGAGATGGGAGCCAAAACATCCCAAGTGATTCACTTAATCTCCACTTTATTTTTAGTAATCCATTAGTTTCTCCCTGGGGAATGTGGGAGTAATTGCAAAGTGAGGCAAAATAATACCATTAAATTAAACTGGCAGAGCATGTTGGTGCCGACTGGCATACCCTTCACTCTCAGTAGTTAGCGGGTAGTGATTTAGGATTCACAGGCATGAGAATGAAATGTATCACTTTCAGATTCTCCCTTTTCCCCTCCAGTAGGTTTTGCTTTTAATCAGCCAGTTGGGGCTGTGAATGCTGGGAAGGGTCTTTGGCTACTGGCATAAAACCACTCCCTTGTAGGTGTTTTTGGGAGTGGGGATTTGTTCTGCGTGTTTTCGTAGAATAGTTGGTACCTACACTTCTGATTCCTTATTTGTTTTTATTTTTGAAAAATTTAATAGGAATGTTTCAAATAAAAAAGTGTGTAAGGCATAACATGACAGACATCCTTAGGTACCTCTTGCTCCAACGTACCAGGAGAATGGGAAGTTTACCAGTTCTATAGGGTCCTCCTCCCTAATGGACTTCCCTTTCCCTGCCCTCAGGGAACCACCATCCTGGTTCATGGGTCTTTATTATGTAGGTCACTGAAAATTTAGACGTAGACTGTGTTATGGTGCATTATTTCACTTCCAAGAAAAATAGTCACACCATCCTTTCCGATTCCCCTTGCGCGGCTTGTCCATGTTGCTGGGAGGGCTTTGTTGGTTTCTATCCGCTCAGATTTTAAATTTGATTTTTGTCTGTCTCAAAAACCAGAGGAACATTATCTTAGTTATGTGTGTGTGAACATGCATTTGGTGTGCTTTTACTACGTGTACGTGTGTGACTTTTGTATGCTTTTTAACTTTAGAAAGCACAGAAGTAGACTTTGTAGGAATGATGGCTAATTGTCATAATACAGAAAAATGTGTAGCCTTGCCTTTTTTTAAAATTTCAAGATATTAAGGGGTACCATGTTTTGGGGTATATGGACTGCTTTTAGAATGCGTGAGTTCTGGCAAGAGTGTGCCCACCACCCAAATAGTGTTCATTGTGCCCAGGAGGAAGGTTTTTACCTCTCCTCTTTTCCCCGTCCCCCTGGTTGCTTTCCACCGAGTTTTACTAATCTGTGCACCTGTGTGCTCATTGCTTGATTCTAGTTTAGTAGTAAGTGTGGTGTTTGTTTCTCCCTTCTTGAGATACTTCACTTAGAATAGTGGTCTCCAGTTTCATCCAAATTGTTGCACAAGGCATTAATTCATCCATTCTTATGGCTGAGTGGTACTCTTTGTCATACATGAACCACGTTTTATTATCCACTCATGAATTAATTGGCACTTGGTTGATTCTACATCTTTGCAATTATGAATTGTGCTGCAATAAACATTTGAGTGCAGGTGTCTTTGTGATGAAAAATCTTTTCTTGTGGGTAGATACCCAATATGGGATTGCTAGATCAAATGGTAGGTATACGTTTAGTTCTTTGAGGAAAATCCAGACTGTATAAGGATTATGCTAATTTGCAGTCCCCACTAACAGTTTTATAAGTGTTCTTTCTTTCCGCATCCACACCCATAGGCTTACCTTAAGTTAGCCCAAAGCACGCATTCTGAGCATTCTGACCCCTGGATGGCTGAAGTCATTTAAATGCAATAGCAAGTAACCTACTCTGAAAAGCTTGTTGATGGCACAGTTGATCTGAAAGAATCCTTTACATTGTAAACCTGCACAGGAGCGCAGAAGCAGGTTCAGAAAGTAAACTCAACGGCAGACCAAGTACCAGAGGAAAGTGCTTATTAAGAGAGGATAAGATGAAAAGCTGGTGGCATGTGGACTCAAACTCATCAACCATTTAAAAATCTAACACATTCTATTACAGATCACTAGGATGCCTGCCTAATAAAAGATTGTTTGACAAGTGTCCAAGAACAAATTTATAGTCTCTTTCAGGGAATTTATTTTCAGCTCCCTAGTGATTTTAAACAAGAAAATGCATCTACACTTACCTGAAGTTAAAAAGCACTAAAAAGCACACAAAAACCATGCATTGTAGCAAAAGCACAACAGATTGTCTGTTTGACACTTTGGTACTTGGACTGGTGGTGGTGGTTGTAGAAGAGACATTGGCTCCCATGAGCTGACTCTGAGGTCAGACCTGGAAGTAGGTCTTTATTCCTGGTCACTTTGGAGCCTCCTCAGAAGGCTTTGCTATATCCTTATTTCCTTTATGACCCCCAGATGGGTCTGAGAAACCATTTTATATATTCTTTTTATTTTTGGAAGACAGGGTCTTACTGTGTTACCCAGGTTAAAGTGTAATGAGATCATCGTAGCTCACAGCAACCCCGAACTCCTGGGCTCAAGCCATCTTCCTGCCTCCTGAGTAGCTGAGACCACAGGTGCTCACCACCATGCCTGGATAATTTTTGTATTTTTTTTTGTAGAGGTGGGGTCTCAGTAATGTTTCTCAGGTTGGTCTCCAACTCCTGGCCTCAAGTGATCCTCCCACCTTGGACTCCCAAAGTACTGGGATTGAAGGAATGAACTGTCTTCCTCTTATCTGAAATGTACCTTAAGTCGTTTAACTTTTGCATTCAGTAAACTCATTCTTTCATTGTTGGAGGATTCATATTACCCTGTGTTCTTGTTTGAATGTTGCCTTCATGAAACTGAACAGTAAATTCTATTCAGAAATCATTAATCTTTTCAACTTGGAAACTTAATTACTGATAAAGTGTCAGGGCAAGATTTGTGACAATGAAGAGGTTTTTTGTGTTTTTTTTCATAGTATCATTTTTGCTTAAATGTTTAACATTTAGAAAAAAAGGTAAACTTAAAAGATTTTTCCCCCTTAATTCATAGGTATTATATCCATGTTATGGGAAGGAAAACAGTAACCTTGCTTGTGGAAATTGAATTTTACGTTTTTGAAAAATCAATTCTGTGAACTAATACTCTTTTTTTGCACATCTTGTGGGATGGTATCTTCTTATTAATTTTTTTTTTAATATATAAAAGGACTTGTGGCCTTGGGTTATTTTTATAACTCCCCATGAAATGCTGCCTTTGTGGGGGGCGGCTCTCTGGGCTGAGGGAGCTTCTAGACAGTGACTCAGATCTGTAATTAGGTCTTGCTCTCTGCACCCTTGTTGACTTGAAAGCACTGGCCATAGACCATTTAGTCTGGGAGAGCAGTGCATGAATCATCTAAATTGGCACAAATTATCTGGAATGCTACTAAATGTTGTCTACTCTTTTTTCTGTGATTGAGGGAATGAGACAAGGAGATTTGTTCTTTGAAAGTATTATAGAGGTTAAATACACTTTTGTGAAAGTAAGTTTCTTCCTTATAGAATGAAAAACACGGGAAGATTTGACATTTGTGAGCAGTTCTGATTTCATGGGTCTTAGAAGAGCCCTCCGTGCTTCACGCCCTTTGCTTCATGGGGAAGGCAGGAAGACCGTCCGGCCCTTTGTCCCACCCAGTCCTTTCAGGAAGGGACACGGTGGGGTTGCTGCCTAGAGCCTCTGCTTAACTCCCCACAGCACAACTGAGGCCGGGGAAAATCCTGGAAGCTTCTATTGTGTCTATTTTGCTCCCTTCTAACTAGTCTCACAAGCCAATTTCTCTCATATTTGAAATGGAGATTTGATATCCTTTTCTTCCTTTTCTCAAAATGATGGGTCAGCAGATTGATTGAGGCCTATTAGGTATTTGGTAATGAATCGGTCGGAGTCATTTTCATATGTTTGCTCAGGAGTCAGCTGCCTTCCTCCTGCTTAGCACAGGCTGTCCTCCCCCACTAACTCTAGAACAGGAGGCAGAGCAAACCCGGGCCCGACACCTCTGCCCGGCCCCGTCCGGCCCTGTGCCTGGTCTGTATTGTGACGGGGAGGGGCGTGGAGTTGAGGGGGAAAAACAGTGTTACAGTAATAATCAGTTGACTGTTTTAGTTTATTAAAAAATTCAAAAGTCTTTTTACTTTGTTTCAATTTATTTTATGTTAAAACTTCAAAATACTTTTATAAGGGGTGACTAAAGGTAGGGTTAAAATACTTAGGGGTATAAAATACTTTCCCTAGATAGAGTAACTTTTAATTAGCATTTTATTTTCTCTGATGTCATGATACGGTGAGAAAAGGACCAGCAGAGTTATTCAGTAGCAAAAAGACCAGATTTTCAACTTGCATCAGGACTTGACTTTTAATACGTGGATAGATCTTG